TTTTTGAATAATGTCTAATTTTGAAAAAGGTGTGAAAGACAACCGAAAACGATTAAAACCATGGGCTATAGTTCATTCCTTTTGGGCAAAGTGATGTTTTTTGTTTCTTCGTGAATATAATGCATATCTTTTTAAAAGATGTTAAAAAATATTTCATTCCGGAGTTTTTGAGTATAACTTTAAGTAATGTATAATCGATGAAAACCTATGTTTGATAGTCTATCATTTTGAATATGGTTTTAGATATTATATTAAGTGAATTTATTACTACAAATTAAACAACAAAGTTTATTTAGAGCGTTGATTTACAAATATCTTTATAAGTAATCCTATTCTTTATATTTATTCCCTTCTGTAAACATAATCATGTCTTATTATATGGATTACTAAATCCTTATTTTACAAGGAAAAAGCCTTCTCAACAGCTCTCTTTTCTATAGTTAATTTTGCATGCCGAAAGAACATAAACATGTTCCACTGCACATGTCTAGTGGAGCTTTTTTTCGTGTTTGAAGATCATGGTTTCAATGTTTTTTGTTTTGTTTTGTGTTGTATCTTTGACCTGAAACGTTAAATAGAAAAGGATTATATTACAACTATATTTGAATATGTATCGATGTCATTTGAATTCCTAAATACCTTCCGACATTGTATCGGCCCAATTCTTGTAAGCGGTACACAAAAAATAATAAAATTTCATTGGCTAAGATGATCGTGCCTTACTTTGCGCAAACAATGTTGGAAGTCGTCTTTACAAAATGAAACTAGCTGTGTATGAATCTACCCTATACTTGTGCAACATTGTGTACGCAAATGCATTTGCCGCAATCGTGGAAAACTTGGAAACCATTTGGTAAACATTACGCCCAAGGCAAAGAAGTATATTATTCGTAATTGCTTGAAACATTTGCACCGATCCTAAGAAGCTATGCATTGCTCAAATTCTATCCCAATCATTCATTAATATTCATTAATATTCATTAATATGCATTACCTTTTTCCTGCCTGTGGTACGCATGCTCCATTGACACAGCTAGTTGGACAGTTAGTACAACTTGTTGCTAAAAGCAAAAAATGGCAGTTCAATATTGGGAAGATATGAATTCGAAACAGTCATTTGAAGACAGGGGCGACGGAACCGGGGGGGCCGGGGGGGCA